GCTTTCGCCTGCAGTGTGAACGCAGCCTATGAAGTGTCCAAAAATCTGTGAGGGGCACGTTTGCTGAGCCTGGTAGATGAGTGAGGCATTTACACCACAGCACTTCCTGCAACAATAACTGTAATTAACAGGAACTCTACTTGATTTTGTTGCTGTAATGAGCTGAGGTTCAGCTCCTGCAGGACTCGTGTACGTGATTATTTATCAGAGGGGAAGTCTGTTATGCATAAAGATCTCCTTGCAGCTCACACCGTAACATCTGCTGCTCATGTAAACAGCCACCAACAACTGCTGCTTTAGCCCCTAAAATACCCAGAATGCATTGTGGAGCTGTCTCCTAAGCCCTGCAGAAGAAATGTCACACTGATCAAACCGATCACCAGAGCAGACAGCTCCAGATCAGTTTGATACAAACAGCAGATCAGTTGAAAGACACACCGACAGCTGCAGCTCAGCAGGTACGCGTTTCACCGCCTCGGCCGCGGGCCGATGCTGACGGACACATGCTGCCTGCCTGTCTCGGACAGAACTGAATCCACCACCTTCCAGTCACGCTCTGTCTAACCTGCAGGCTGCTGCGTCGCACAAAATAGCATCACAGGATGTGACGGGAAGACTTGCAGCTCCTGGCTTCATGCCGCACTAAAAGGCTGTCAGAGCAAATCTCCTCTGCAGCTCGGATGGGCCTCGTTCTGCAGAGCGTCGACGCAGACACTCACAGGGAATCAGCAGCCCGGGCTTTGAGTTTAAGGAACAAAACCTGACTCATAGTTTGAAAAACAAATCTTCTTAGTGATGCTTTATTTTTCCTTTTCGTTTCCTGACAAGTCAACATTATTAAATGCTGAGCAGATTTCATCCAAGTCTGACATTTCAACAATGTTATCAACAAACCAATCTAGTATCTGAAGACTAAGAAGGTGGCTGAAAATGTAGGTTGAAAATAAAACCAATTATTAGACATGTTTTAATAGATTAGGAAAACTCTGTGACCCCACCTACACAGTACGGTAAAGACTCTACAGTAAGACAGTCAGACCTCCCCGTATGAGCAAACGCTTGGTGACAGTGGGACAGAAAAACTCCCTTTGAACAGGAAGAAGCCTCCGGCAGCCTACGTCCATTGCAGCATAACTAAGGGAGGATTCAGGGTCACCTGGTCCAGCCCTAACTATATGCTTTAGCAAAAAGGAAAGTTTGAAGCCTAATCTTGAAAGTAGAGATAGTGTCTGTCTCCTGAATCCAAACTGGAAGCTGGTTCCACAGAAGAGGGGCCTGAAAACTGAAGGCTCTGCCTCCCATTCTACTTTTAAATACTCTAGGAACAACAAGTAGGCCAAATAATGATTTAATGTTAGACATTTTCAAACATTTCATATTAAAAATGAATAGAAGAATAGAGTCACATAAAAACATGGCACAATGTTTTTTCCATTTTCACTGAAATCAGACTTTTGTAGACAGAAGGTGTTTAATGCTGTTCAGCCACAGTAAGCAGATTACAGTCAGGTTATAGGTGGATTACTCTGAAATAAGCGAAACAACGTTTAAGTCACAGCCACACAGATTTAACTTCTAAGTGTACGTGAATAGAAAATCTCCCTGAGCCTCGAGAAACCTGCTGACAGACAAACACGAGTAAATCTGTGAGCGAGAAGCGAGCTGTACAGCACAAAACCTTGTGAGCAACATTTCAAATGAGCTGTTTCAGGGTTCACTTTGACAATAATCCCTCACAGGCTCTTACTGGATGTGACTGGATTACAGAGGAGACAGTGATGTGTGGTGGTGACAAGTTAAACAAGTTAACCTTTTTTGATTATTATTAAAGTGCAATTCGAAAATGTTTTTTTTTAAATGAAGACTTAAAAAGCATTTTTAAAATCAGTTTATTAAATTGGAATTCAAAAATGAATTTACAAATGCAGATTTTATTCTACAATTCATTAATTAAGCACAGAACTGTTTGGCTCTTGTGGTCCTCCGTACTGTAGCAGCTGTTTAAAATCACACCAAGGGACGGGGGGGGGCTTGGACGTTTCACCCATTGTTCTCTGGAAAATATTACAGCCTAGGAGAGCAGCTGCTTTATTAAAACCAAATGATTACAAACTTCAAATCAATTAAAATACCTCTGAGGCACAGGAATGTGCAGGTCTTAACTCAAAGCTGGTGCTTTCTCAGGGTTAATGGCAACATGTGCAGTAAGTTGCCTTCAGGTGAATCATGGTCAGTGCATCTCTCTGAGTGCATCCTAACAGCAGCTTTCATTTGCCAAAGACAGTATGATGTGGTAAACATGGCCATCGCTGCATTATAGCATGAAAAGCGTGACACAGAGGCCCCGAACTGCTGAGCGGATGTTGAAACAACAGCCACTCTCCCGCCTACAGTGTCATTAAAGAAGGTTGCTGCATGAAACAATGTGAAACAAATTCCACTAAAATCCCAGAATCTCGTTTTCAACCTTTTTATTATCTTTAATAAAATCCAGCATTGCAGTGATGCGCACATCATTGCATTCTGTTGAGATTACCTCGTACATTAAATTGTTCTTCGTTTGGCCCTGAAGTGTCTCGTGGAGCAGCTGCTCAAACTGCAGGAAAGAGCAGAGTTCATCAACAAGCTGGGACTGGGTCCAGCAGTGTATTATGGGAAAGCAGGGTTAGAAGTCTTCTTTGACCAATCAGAGGGCTTGGCTGAAGGTCGGCATCAGGCAGAAGCGTCCGGTTGACCTTTACATGTTCCTGCTGTGTTTCCCTCTCAGTAGAAGGTCGTGGAAACATGTCCAGGGGCTCGAAACGAACCTCAGACCTGTGTGTGTGTCTGTGTGTGTCTGTGTGTGTCTGTGTGTCTCATGTACACAGGATGAGTTGTGCACCATCTCAGGAAATCACCTGTTTGAGTGAAACCTGGATCCTTGAGTGGAGCAGACTAATGGCTCGTGTGGTTCATGGTTCAGGTGCCAGAGTAACGTTTACTCTGCTCAAAGCCTTTTCATACGTTACAAGCTACATTCACACTATTGCTTTATTGAACTTAGCAGAACAGTCGACGTGTCACCATAATTTGGGGCTCAACATCTTGCCCAGCAACAGCAGCTCAGTGAAGACCTTACAGGACTTTGAGTTTGTGCTTTCAGGATCCTCGGGCTCTCGGGGAGATATTCTCTGGGCTTACGAGCCAAAAACCTTTTTGAACCTTGTACATCTGGCGTAAACACAGCACTTCAGAACAAAAGGGTGATTTGCTGAAAGTGTCCTACTGTGTCAGGACCTGGACACGTTGCTGTAGTTGATGCAACCATAAATCCTGTAGAAGTTCAGTGTGGGTGCAGCAGGACGAAGATCCAAACTACACCAGAGTCCACCTCTGATTGGCTCCAAGTCTGGACTTACATCCGATTGAGATGAATTCAAACCCTCAGTGCAGGTACAATAAGAAATGAGGAAAGGCGTGGCACCGTGGCTTCAGGGCTTTTTCCAGTGAAACCACGGTGGCGCTCGCTTCAGTTTTACTGAATAACAAAGCCATTTGTAAATCTCGGCCTGTTAGAAGCAAAAATGCTTACCTACCTTCCCATTTACAGTACCATTGCAAACCCTATGAGCCGGGTCACTCCTCACTCATTACACCACGTTTGAGTGCTTTTGTGCCACCTCCACCCGTCCTGACCACGAAAGTCAACTTGTTTTTCTTCTCTGAGACATTCGTGAGCTTTTACATCTTATTGGTTCTCTCCATCCTTCAGATGATGTTCCTGTCTGCAGAAAGGTCGCAGGACGGCTGCTGCAGCTGCTCTTTTCTTCTCTTTATTCCTGTTGATCCGTGTTTGGCATCAGGATGTTAATCTGTGAAGTGACACCTGCAATTCGGCTCAAAGCTTCTGTTAAAGTTCTGCTGGAGGGATTTAAAAACACAGTGCACCTCAGCGGAGCACCGCAGCACCAACGCACATCTGAGTTTAAATCCTATAAATATGTAAGAGGCTATTTTCAAGCCATTCTGGCTTCATTAACAGTGAAGTGAACACAGCCCTGAGTAAGACCTGGATTTGTATGATTGAAGTGCAGGAAGTGATGCCATTTCTCCATTATTTTATTTATATATAATATTTATGCTGGTTTTCATTGTGTGAAGTTTGTAATATTGGTTAAAAACAAAAATGAGACCAAGTGAAGAAAGCCTGAAATCAGTAGTGTCAGAAACCTCCCTGGCTCTGTGTTGCAGTCCCTCCGGCCGTAGAGCCCGAGCACACGGAGATCCGTCAGGCCCTCGGCCGGGCGTTCAGCCTTACCTGCCGTCTGCTGCGAGCTCATCCGGCTCGCCTGCTGCGATATGAGTGGAAGCTGGGCACCCGCCTCCTGACTGTCGGACAGTTCAGTGACCAGAGAGACGACACGAACTACCACGTCAGAGCTTTGAACAGGGAGGGCTATGGCGAGTACACCTGTGACATCACCAACGAGGCCGGGGCAGGACGTTGCACGTTCCTGGTCACAGGTGAGCTTTATTATTTTTTGAGTTATTGCACTTTAGTCACTTTGTATTTAACATGACCTGAGTCATCGTAGATTTTCCTGAATTGACTGACTTGTTTAAAAAGTGAAGACGTTTGACTAGAACTTGGTTCTCGGTGAGGTTTTCAGTGGACTTGGTACCTAATCTGAACATGTTGGCTTAGATAATGTGACCTGATCATATCTGGGACACGTCCCTGTTGATTATTGACCAATGGATGATTTAAGGCTGACTTTGTACTCGTGTGGAGTGAGTTCAGACCTGACTTTTACGCGTCTTAATTTTCCAACGAGCTGCTGTCACTGACGACACGCTGCCTGTAGGAGTGCTGCAGTTCCCTACTCTACATGACCTCATTGTCAGCTTAATAAGAAAGGTGTAGCTGCCTTCATGACAGCATTGAAAATATTACTATAGGGATTTCTAAACAGTTTTGTGTACCATAGTGTAATACAGCCCAAGGTTATTAGTCATAAGTGGTTTAAGAAGCCTTATGTCGGACACTTGATGTGAGCCTGACACCTCCTGCTGCTCTGTAAGATCAGTTGGCCCACAGTCTGACAGCTCAGGAGGCAGAGCAGGTCAGCAGGTCAGCTGCTGATTGGAAGGTTGGTGGTTCCATCCCTGGCTCCCCCAGTTTGCATGCCAAATATCCATGATACTAACCCCGACTTGCTCTCCACATCCATCGGAGTGGATGAATGATAGTTAGAAAAGCACTCAGTGCTTGTGTGAATGGGTGTGTATGGGGTCAATGCGCTTTGAGTACTCCAGGAGAGCTATATAAGAACTGTACTAGCATGCACTGAAACCAGTGAACCACTGAAACCAGTGAACCTATATACACCATTGTCACAGTAATCATAGGGGCACTTGATTGCAAGATTAGCAGGGTGTCAGGTCCTGGGTGGAAACAAGTTCTCCATAACTGAGGCTCTGCCAGATGCTCACAGCTCCGGCCACCAGGCTGACGTGAGATACCAGAGAAGCTGAGGTCTGTTCTGAAAAGATCCATCCCATCCACGGTGCGCGCTCAGCTACAGGAGAATAACAGCAGCGAGTGTATTCCCGTCCAGAGCTGAAATTGAGCAATTCTGGAAGAACATCTGAGAGAGAGGTGTCACATGACACTAACGGTGACTGGTGGACTAAAGGATGAGCCGGTCGCCATCACCAAAGCAGACAAGCGCAGAGCTGGACAGCAGCAGGACCTGACACGCTGAAGAAGCTAACGGCACTACATGTAGCACAAAGAACGGGTCTGCTGACAGCGGGTACTCAGTCATGAAGGATCCTTTAGATTACTAATGTGTACACACACACATATATATATATATATATGTGTGTGTGTGTGGAATGCTTAACTTAATAATTTTAGCAGTGTTTGTATCCCGAGCTTCAGATGTTTCAGTTTTTTTGTTGTTATGAGGACTTTATCTTAACGTGAGGAAACGAATAAAATCATAATTTCATGTAACTGAACAAGCATGGGGAGAGAAGGCAGCATTTAATATGTCTAAAATGTTTTTTTAAACCTTTTTTAAACCTTCTGGGGTTTGAATCATGGTAACTCGGCTCGTTACGTTTTCAACAAATACGTATCAACTTTTGTGGAAAATAAAAGAGAAGGCGTCGGACGAGTAATCCATCTCTTTAATTACACAGGTCTAGTTTTGTCTCACGTGAATTTGGAGTTGTCGTTGACTTCCAGGCTGAACCGACTCTGCGGGTTTCAGTCTCTGAGCCCACTTGTGTCTGCGTCTTCTCTGAAAGCTCCCCTGCAGAGGCACCCTGTCAGCGCCCAGAGACTTCCTGCAAAACCCGCCGCTGTGTTAAGCCTCTTATCAGGGCCGACCGCTGAGCAGCAGCGCGTTTTGCAGGCAGCAGCAGAGAGTGTTTAAAGAGTGGAGTTGTAAGCTCAGGATATAAAGATGATAGAAAATGGTGGTGATTATGCCAGACTTGTCATTTGCTGAGGTGAAGTTTGCGTTGTTAATCAGGTGTGAACACACTGGTGGCATTTTAAACCTTGCTCATCCTGCAGCGACCAATGAGACAGCGTAAAGCTTCAGAATAAAAGTGACAGAAGCAGACATGAAACTGTGACACAAAGTGCCAACATGACGACTCGCCAGACGGTCTGACTGCTCCTCCCACCGTCAGACAGATGAAACAAACTGAATTTTAATAGGATGATTCATTCCTGTCTGTTGAAGTCACAACAGCAAAAGTCATTTTGTGTGTTTTTAAAGCCCTGACTTCTGCTGAAGTCTAACATAAATAATCTTGTTGTCACACAAGCAGAACACACACCATTGGTTTAAAACAGTCACGTAAAACACAAGAAAACATGAGACGTGAGAACACCAACACAGTGCTGTGCTGCTTCCTGTTGCATTTACTGTTAGTCTAATGGCATAAGGTCACAGAAGAGGGGCCTGAAAACTGAAGGCGCTGCCTCCCATTCTACTTTAAATACTCTAGGAACAACAGCAGGAGTGAAGTGCTCTAATACAGGACTGTAAGGCCATCAAGGTTAGATGAGGCCTGATTATTCAGGACCTTGAAAAGAGATCATGGATGCCAACGGTCAAACCAAACAAGTCAAAAGCTGTGGCTACCAAACAAATGCCACTGCAGCCACTGTCCCTGGATCAACCGTCAAGTAAGGCAAGGAGCTGCTGATCATTTCAGTTGTGCAGGGAGGGTCTAGCATGCACTGTGCACGTGCACAGAGAGTAGTTAAATGCCCTCAGCCAACTGCTTCAAGTCCCCGTAGTAACACTACTGATCAGCTGCTTGGAGTAAAATAGACTCAGTGGCAGAATTAGCAACAGTATCACATAGAAAGAAATCATGTTGCTGTTAGCATTATATATTTATGAAAATGTAACTATACTGCCATCTTTGTTTATTGATACTTATGTTGCTAAAAGCAGGTTCGTACACACAAACATACAGAGATGCCATTGTTACAATGTGGTCATGTGTCTCACTGACACAGCCAAGTCTGCTTAATATTTTTGAGTCCTGTGAAAGCAACCTGCAAGTTGCTGAGAAAAGCAAGAGTTTTGCTAAACTGGCCAACAGCCTTGTTTTGGTTGGTAGTTCCACCATGCCAAGCATCACCACACAAACACACAACAGCGAGTAATCTGCAGCCAAAGATATAAAAACGACCCATCGTAACACCAAGTGTCACACACTGAAAAACACGGTGACGACATTGTTTTCTATTCATGAGTGAAAAAGACATCCTGGACCTGTTTCCAGCCCTGTGTGACCTCTGACCCAACTGCCTCCTCAGGAAAAGCCAACCCTCCAGAGTTTTACTACGACACCTACAGCGCCCTGTGGCAGAGCAGGCCGCGAGTCTACGGCTTCAAGCTGCAGTGGACTCAGATGGAGCCGAACGCTGTGGATCGAATCCTGGCCTACAGACTCGGCATAAGGCAGGTCAGTGCAGCAGGTTTGTTATTTGAATGCAGCAATCAGTCATCCCCACAAATGTCTTCATTTGCATTTTGTTTGTCCGAACTCAGGGGAGGTTTTCCAGAGTTTGTAAGGGTCTTTGAAATGTCTAAAATCCATCTATATGCACGTTAGACTTCACAGTTATGGATTATGAGACTTGCTTATAATCCATAACTGTGAAGTGAGTTATGAAGTTAGAAATATTTAATTGAAAAAGTCTGTTGTAACCACTGAGGACTGATTTGCTGACTTCGCCCAGGCTGTATTTACAAAGAGCACGGTGACCACATGTGAGGTGGGAGGAGATGTTTCAATCGGACACTAATTTACTGAAAAAGCCTTTTGCCTGTTTTTTGCACTTGATTCTGAAATGAACTGAGTGCACCGCAGCTTTTTAAACCACCCATGCATACGAGGGGTGTTAGCATAGTTAGTAGACAGACTCGAACTATTCTAATAGCTGTGCTTCGAAGCAGCTTTGTGATTAAAGGAAAACAACCAGTGTGAAATTATAGCTTGCAAAGAAAAACATGCTTAAATTAGGAACTTTAAGTTGTCATGAGAAATAAGAAAACTACCACTCCACAAACTCGTGTCTGCCTTTGTGTTACTGTTCTAGATTCATGTACGTTGTTCCCAATCCCACTCTGGAATAACAACATTAACTTCCACAATGTCCGATGTCGTGGTGTCAGGATCATCTTCATATACTGTCTTATGTGTTTGACACAAGTCAAATATTAAACATTAAACAGTGCGCCAGTAAAATAGAAAAGCACTGTATGAGAACCAGTTTACCATGTTACCAAAAATAAATAAATATGGTGATGTACTAGACAAGACAAGACGCTTCACCCGTTGCCTACTGGTGGTGGTCAGAGGGCCCGGTGGCGCCAGTGTCCGGCAGCCTCTGTCAGTGCGCCCCAGGGTGGCTGTGGCTACAATGTAGCTGCCATCACCAGTGTGTGAATGTGTGTAAAGCACTTTGGGGTCCTTAAAGACGAGTAAAGCACTATACAAATACAGGCCATTTACATTTACTAGTTAACTTTGCAAACAGGTGGTGTAGCAGCTAGCACTGACACCTTGCAGCCAGAGTCCTGGGTTTGAACCTGCCTTTGGCTTCTCTGTGTGGAGTTTGCATGTTACCCCATATGGGTTCTCCTCAAGCTACTCCAGCTTCTTCCCATAGATCAAAGACGTGCGTGCTAGGTTCTGCATTGGCTGCAGGATGAATATGGATGCAAGCGTATATGTCCTCTGTGTTAGTCCTTTGGTGGACCGGCAACCTCTCCCCCAGCCTCTTGTGGGCAAGACTCCAGCCCTCTGCGATCCCAGTTAAAATGGCATTAAGAAAATGGATGGACTGATAGTCACGTTAACTGATAGATGTCAACTAAAAAGTTGTTGTTTCTATACCTCGTTGTTCCTGCATGTGTTCTCTTGGTGTTCTTGCTCCATTAAGAACATCACAAAGTGCCATGCATGTAAGAAACTCCATCCCGGGTCATCCGTGGATCGGGTTTCCTCCGAGGCGTGGGCACCTATCAGCAGAGATTGTCCATAACCTATAGAACTCAAAGGAATATTCTCAAGTAACAGTCAGATATGCCATTCAGCAGGTTAGTTACAGCGCCGGGAGTAGCTTGGGAGAACAAGGAAACACAGACTGCTTCAGGTTGCCTTCCCAAACCAACTCAAAGTTTATTTGTCATACAACAGTATATATAGAGGAAAAAGGTTCGTGTGTCAGCAGGTTCTCAGTTCAAACCGGTACAGACCAAATAAGGAAACGTCTTCCTGCCCTCTGAGCAAAGAAGTATCCTTTGTGTAGTTTATCAGTTCAGCTACAATTTATGATCATCCCAGCAAAATACACTCCTAGACATAGAATACAGAGTTCTTCATTAGTGAATTCTGAAACAAACCACCTGGCCTTTAACGAGCCTTTTTCTAGGAGATAAAGAAAAAGGGAGGATGGGAGTAAGGAAGTGGTCTCTGTGGTATTTTCGACCTTGAGTTACCAGCCTGTGATTCTTACACATCAATTCTTGGGTCACAGAGAAAGAGAAAAACAACTAGTAAATGGGCCTTATAGAGTAACAGTTTTCCTGTATAATCTCACTATAAAACAATATCCTGTAAATGCTACCATGGTGCTAAAATACATAACAATGCAGTTTGCAGCAGTGTGCTTAAAGCATGGGGAAACCAAACTGCAACATGCCTCTGCTTCTCTGTTCTTCTGTCCTCGTGGGGCCTGTAACAGACTTTTAGATCTTATGGGGCATTCAGTGTTTTCTCTGTAGCTGATTTTACCCTGCAGAGTCACATGGAGGTAAAGCCCACAGTGACGGACCACATAGTGTATACGAGTGAGTGTGGGAGAGACAGAGAGTAGGTGGCAGTATTCCTCCTCCTTTCTCTCTGTCGGGCTTCACCTGCAGTGAAGCTCTGCTAAAAATCAGTGGTTGTGTAATTGTTGTAATTGCAGGTGATCTGTAGGGATTAACAAATATTAAAAGGACATTCATTCAGTTTTTAATGTTTTTAGAAGGTTTCAAAATTCTGGGAATATTTTCCCTGAAAGTTGATTGTGGATGTTTTCAGTGGGAGAAACGTTTCATCACTCGTCTAAGTGACGTCTTCAGCCTCAGCCGACCTTATAAACACTCAGGGCTGCATTTATTAACAGAGAAACACCGTTCCAGGAATATATACAGATCTCCAGCACTGTGGCTCCCGTGGCGCACTGCTAAATATGACGGCCATGAAGAAGGTCATCAGCACAGCTGACGCTGGCTTGATGAGCTCAGGTGCGGCTGCCTCCCACGCTGCAACACTTCCCCTTGCAGAGCTCGCTTCGTGTACAAAACATCCAGGAGAGCGGATGCAAACAAACACAGAGCAGAGGAAAATCAGGGAGACACAATCAACATACAAACAAACACAACGGGCAGAGAACTGTGCATCTGTATGATGACTGACACCAGCACCACTGACTCAACAATGACTAACTATGACTTTTTCATGTAAATGGCCTACCTGACTCCCCACTCAAGGGGGTCTCTGTTGCAAGAGCTCTGTCTCCCGTATGTCCTGATGTATCAGAAGTTGGTAGTGATCCCGTAC